GCTCCCTTTTTTCTAGATCACCCTTCTTCACACTGTTCCAATACTACTTCAGTTTTTCATTCATCAATCTACCAGGGGCACTGTTTTCTTTTTCGTTCTTCTCCTTCCCATCATCTTTTAGAACTCTTGGGACTTAAATAACACTATTTTGTTTTTTTTTAGAAGAAGAAATGATGAGTTCAGATGATGATAATGATGATGAAAAGGAGGTAATTACATATAGTGTTCCCCTGGTGGTTCTGACTTTAGCACTTCTTTCACCAATTGGTCTTTTCTGCTTGGATCACCCTACTGACTGCTCTCTTCTTGTCGGATCATGTACGTCTTTGCTCTGAGGCGTAGTCTGTGAGCAAAAACAAGTGAGAGCTATGTTGATCATTTCCTCTCCAGCCCTTTTGCACATATCTTCACATATGAAACTTAAGAAGAGGACGAAACAAAGATTTTAAGTTTCAGGGTGTGAACTAGCTAAAGATGATCTAGCCACTCAGGATCAACAATATGGATAGAAATAATTAAGATGTCTTTAGTGTAATCTCGTTTTTCCAGAGTAACCACTACAAGCAGAAATCTTCTGGAGAGCAAGGTGAGATAAAGTCAGGGTGTTCCAGGTCCAAGTGTGCGTCATTCGTCACTGCTAAGGTCACTGAATAAGATAACTTAAAGCATGAGGTGGTAAGTGATTATTAAAATAAGGTCCTAATCCCCACAAGTTTTGACTCAATAAAAATATCAAAATGGCTCAAGACTGACTCAAACATAAAACCCAAAAAAAATAAACGAGTTAGCAAACGACAAAGACCCTCCCCCATAGTTACTTCACAACGTATCAGTGTGAAAATAAATCAAAGAGAAGCTTTAAACTTAATTTATTTATTTTTGTTCGAGATGCTTACCTGCGGGGAGCAGCCTGGCGGAGCAGGATGCGGTTGCTCCTTGACTGTACTCTGTTCTTAAAACAGAGGTGCCTCGTTTTTTTTATTTATGACCTGAGACTTAACAAACTAAAAACCAAAAATAAGTAAAAAAGAAAATCCTAATGTTGTTGACACTCACCAGTGCGTTGCCTCCCACCAAGCGCTTGGTTTAAGTCACTAGCTTGACTTGGTGATATGGATCAGTCTGGTTGAGCATGAGGGCCTGTTCCAAAACAAGCTCCACAATCAGACATGTTCAGCTTCAAAACCCTGCTCAACAACCCTTTCACAGCAGCTTCCCCTTTCTCCTTCAGCTCATGTGTGAGAATGATTCTGACTTTAGAGAATGGTTTGGAGGTACCCTTGCACTTTACCTCATACTCAATGGAGTTCTCATCACACTTGAGAGAAATCAAAGTCATTGTAGGATCTCCTTCGACCCTTTTCTTTTGGAATTTCTATTTCACCTTTGAATTCCCTCTGAATTTAGTAGGATCAGTGCTAAGATTTTCATCAGAGAACAGCTTGCTCTCACCCTTATCACCATGCTCCTTCTCTGGATCAACCTTCAGATTTTCTACATCAAACACTGAGATGCAAGAGGCGTGTGAGGAGGAATATCTGGTGGGTACAGCCTTGTAGAAAAATTTCTTGTTGATGTTGGAGAAGCAGACTCTCTTTTTGGGCATATCGATGGTTGCTCCAATAGTAGCCATGAATGTCCTTCCAAATATCAAAGGCATCTCATGATCCTTATTCATCTCAACAACTTGAAAATCAGCAGGAACAACGCATTCCCCTACTTGGACATGAAGGCAGCAGAAGGTTCCAAATGGGACTGCTCTGGAAGATTTTGCAAAGGTCAGGGTCAGCTGAGAACGCTCAACACCAGCAATACCCAAATCGTCTACAATAGCCTTTGAGACAAGATTCACACAAGAACCAGAGTCACAAAGAGCATCTTTGAAGGTTGTTCCTGCGATGGAACATGGGAAAACAAACTTTCCAGGATCATCAACCTTAGACAATACCTTTAGTGCTGGTGTAGACAGTGCTTTGGTATAGAGGGCTATGATCTCCTCTTGAGTCTCTCTACAATTTTTAAAGAACTTGAGCAATGGGTGAATCTGCAGAGCATCTTCAAATGCAAGTTCTTTAGGAAGCCTTCTCACAATCTTGTTAAAACCTGCCAGCTGCTCTTCACTAATGGGATCCATCAGATGTCTAGGTGGGATTGGGTAGGGAACCTTAGGAACATAGACTCGAGCTGGTGGAGTCTCAGAAGATTCGTCGAGAGCAGTCTCTGCAGAGCTAGTAGGTTGCTCTGTTTTGCTTGGAGCAGTCTCAGCAGACCGCTGCTCCATTGCTCTTCCCTCACTTTCTCACATCTCAGCTATGTTGCATTACAGTGCTCAACCCTAGGATTCATCACACCTTTTCGACGAAGGGTTTTGTGCTGCTTTTTAACAGTTTCAGCAGTTTGAGCAAGCTAACGTCAATCCTCATTATGTGGTTGCTCACAGTATCATATTTTAAATCAGCTCAGCGAACATGTTGTCCATTCTGGTGTTGATCTCTGCGGTAACCTGATTCAATGCCTTCCCCAAAATTTGCTGACCCTGCAATAGTTGTTGCATCATCATAGCCAAACCTTTCAGCTCATCTTGCGGACCACTGGCAGTAGCTGGAGCAGCCTGCTGATTGCTCTGCAGTTTCTGCTGGTTGCTCGCTTGGTAATTATTCTGTGTGGCCTGCTCAGGAATTGTCTCTCCTAATAAATATATTTTTCCTTGGTTGTTCTTCAGCAGCTGATCAACCTTGGCTGTCAACTCGTCTATCTTCTGGGTATCGACACTGTTCATCTTCTTGGAGAGATCTGTTTCTAGGCTCCTGTTTGCAGAACTAGTTGTCATGTTCTCTATCAGTTCGAACGCACCATCAGTGGTATGTGTCATGAAATCTCTCCTGCTCCCAGAGTTCAGAGCAGTCTGAAATTCCAAGTCTACTCCATCATAGAAAATGCCTAAGAGGTAATCATCATCAAATCCATGGTGAAGGCATTCTCTGTGATAGTCATTGAAACGCTCTCATGCTTCACGAAAAGGCTCATCAGTGAGCTGTCTGAATGAGGTGATCTTGTTCTCAATGCTGAAGTTCTCGCCTTATTGTAAAAATGGCCAAGGAACACTGATCGGACCTGCTCCCATGAAGTGAGAGAACTGGTAGGGAGATAGTTCAACTACCGTGCAGCCTTTCCATCAAGAGAGAATGGGAATATCATGCACTTACCATTCGCACGAGTGAAACTGCAGACTTTTTTGAAGCTCTCAATATGCTCCATTGGAATCTCTGCTGGGAGACCACTGAACACCTTGCTCTGCACTAAAGCGATCAAAGCAGGCTTGATCTCGAAGTCCTGCCTGGTGCAAGGCGGAGGAACAATGGCAGAGCGCGTAGCAGGGATATTACACGGTAGGCTTCTCTCACCGATTGGAGCACCTCGCGCCTACTGTTCCTGCTGAGCGAGAGCGGCTTGTTGTTGGATGGTCTGCTGCATCTGGAGCATTTGCTGTTGCCTCAGTTCCATTGCTGCAGCGAGATCATCCTGATAGCCGTGATCACCCATGGTGGTGTTGGTTGGCCTTGGCTATTGTCTGTTCTTTCTTTCTAACCTTGCGAGCTCTTGGTTACTAAGTGTACCTGCAACAAAGAGAAAAGAGCAAGTTAGAGGTCTTAGACTACATAAATAACCGACAAATAAAGGTAAAAAGACGGTCCCCGGCAACGGCGCAAAATTGATATTACGTGTATACGCACACCAATTAAGCTAATGTTCACACTACCACAATGGAATTGTATGTCGATGTAGCACTTTAGGATCGAATCCACAGAGACCAAATCTTACACTTTATTTCTATGGGATCAATATTAAGCTAAGACAATGAATGGTTTATAAAGTAAGAAAATAAACAAGAAAGTAACAGATTTGATTGGAGTTTTCAGATGATGAAGAATGCTAGTCTAGGATGCTTCATTGGGTGTTAACATGATGAACCAAACAATTATTCAAGCTTAGTTAAGAACAGTCTAGAACTCAGATATCTTAACTAGAACACCCTGTTCTCGTAGGTATGCTCCTTTTGCGGAGCGAGCTTGATACCTATGGTCTCGCGTGGATCAAGGCTCGACAACAAACAATAAGAACATACCTAATATGCTCACATCATACCCTGATATCTACTCTTGCTGATCAGGGATATGAAGCTCGTTTATAACATATGTAGCAACCTAATTCATGGTTAATGATACAAGGTTAAACCTAGATCAAACATTAAGTGATTAGATTAGTATTAGCATTAAGAATAGTCATAAAAGAAGACAAAAATATGAAGCTCATCTATGTTCAGTTCATGAATCAACACCCTAGAATCCTAGGCTAACAAGATCAACTACTCAGTCATAACAACAGAGACTATAGAGACAAAAGATGAAGAAGACATGAATGTTATTTGCAGATAAAATATAAATAGGGTTCAGGGGATTCTTCTCTAAATCGAGAGAGATAATCTTTTCCTTTTACAAGTATCAAAATCACAATATCCAAAAGCTCTAAAATTTCTTGTCTCTGAAAAGAAGCGTAGAGTGTCAAAGAAAATAAGAATAGAATATGTCTTTATGCCACAAGCGGCTAGGAGAAGAAAAATAGAAAGACTATGACAAATCCCGAAATTAATTAGAAGTTTTCACAATTTTCGGGAGCAAGCAGGGGGTACTCTATTTTGGGCGCTCTTTTTAGGAGCAGACAGGGGGTTGCTCCGTTTAAGTGCTCTATGACAGAAAACTTCCAATATTCATTATTTTCGTCATGTGTCTCTCTAAAAGTCTTCTTACCTACTCCAGACCTGTAATGATTCAAAAAGAACTAGAAAAACTTGATAAAGACTTGAAAACAATTAATAAAACATGTATACAAGATGTCAAAAACACCATATATCAGCATGCGGGTCAGAGCTAGTTATTTTAAAGTTATGTTTTCGTCTCTATATACATACATTATAATATGTACATTGACCCAAACGACAGATGGAAATAGGAGAAAGTCTTCGAGAATGGTTCCCTCAGGATTTCAGTAGAAAGTCTTCTCCGGCCAACTCCTTCAATCTCCGGCCACAGCCTCCTCCGTCTTCATCTTCTTCTTCTCTTATATCACAAGACAGTCCCCAAAACCTCTCAGAATATTCCTCTTTCTTATTCCCACTCATCCCTAACTCCCTAAACCTTCAACGACTACTGACGCAGTTAATGTTCCGTTACAATCGCTGCTAGCTCCGGTCATTTCAACACCAACGGGCAACATGATCCATCAGCAACAACAAGAGTCTTTGTTCCGTAATAGTAAACGTGAGGAGGAAGCAATAACGAAAGCCATCTTAGCGGTTTTACCGACGGCGTCAAAAGCGTCTCCGCCACTGCGAAAAAGAAGGGCCACCGCTTTTAAGAGATATTACTACATGGGTAACGGAGGTGGTGGGAAGCAAAGCGTAGGGAAGCAAAGTATGATGATAAGAGCGATATCGTTTTACACTAGGCTTAACATCTACCGGAGAGAGCGTTTTGCTAGGGCAAACTCTACTATAGGAGGCGGCGGCGGCGATGGAATCAGGCCAAACGCAACGCAGTTGCATCATATGATATCGGAGAGGAGACGGCGAGAGAAGCTTAATGAGAGCTTTTTAGCATTGAGATCCCTCCTTCCTCCAGGAACTAAGGTGCGTGATACAATCTTTTTATTTTATTTAAGTTCCTTATAAGAAATATATTATTAACACATTGGACAATATTGTTTCTTTTCAATGATAATCATAATATTATAACGTGTAAATGCAAATGAAAACATTAGATCTCATGCATGATATATACTTGAGCTAATGTTATGGCTAAAATTTTTTTTGAACAGAAAGATAAAATATCAATCCTCACCATTGCAAGAGAGCAATTAACTTCTTTGCAAGGCGAGGTTTTGAAACTAGTAGAGAGGAATCGGGAGCTAGCGGGAGAAAGAGAGATGGAAAATGATCTACAACCTGATGAGAGGTTTAATGTTCATATAAGATATATACCCGAATCAACATCTAGAGAAAGGGTTTTGGATCTAAGAGTTGTTCACAAGGGAGACAACATCAGGGATGATGATTTGATGATAAGGCTTCTCGAGTTCTTGAAGAAAATCAACAGTATGAGTTTAGTATCAATCAACGCTCAGACTCGAGCTAAACAAGATGGTGGTACTTCGGTTGTTTTCTTGAGCTTAAGGCTCAAGATCGAGGTAAAATAACAATTTTGATTTTATTAAATTGGTTTCTCTCAAGGAAACAAATTATTTTATATTACTTAATTAGTTGAATGTTGCATATAAGTTATAACTTATAAGTCCCATACAAATATCAAAAGTTCATTTTATTCTCCAAAGCTTTATTTAACCTTTTAGTGGGAAAGTTCCTTTTATTCTCCAAAGCTTTATTTAAGTATTTAACCTCCTAGTGGGACTTATTCATAAGTGTGACTTATTCAAAGAATTGCATTGATTGGTTTGAGTGTTGTTGACTTATTGGGTGGAGTCTTGTGTGATATATACATCCAATTTTATTTATTTGTGAAAATGTCGAATTTTTCTCGTCCTCATATTTGATGGAGTCTCAATAGTTATGCATGACTGATAAGATAACCACTAGTTCGGTCTTGACGAAAAGGTTTATTAGTCACTGAAAAAAAAACAACCTTAAACGTTTGGAAGTTTATATTTATTTTGCAGGGTGAATGGGACGAATCAGCCTTTCAAGTAGCAGTCCGAAGAGTTGTTGCTGACTTGGCTCACTGACAACAAGTTTGATTATTTCCTAACCATATATTTAATTCTTATGGATATAGTTTATTTTGTTCTCACAAGAGTGAAATGTTTCATAATATAGATTAAAATGATTATAGTATCTATGGACGGCCACTCTATTTTATTACACTGGCGTGTGCGGCTCCTATCGTTTTCGATGATTAGAGATGGTAAATAGGTTCTCTTGTCCTATCCCGTCCCCGACCGTAGCGAAACTTTCTTTAAACGGGTCATAGTTGGTCAGGTCCGCACGGACTGCGATCTCTGAAATGGCTATCCAAACCTGTCCCGCTATATGTACAAGCTTTCGTGGATCGATCCGCGGGATATGTGATTATACATGCAGTAAAACGATTCAAAACACTCTAAAACTCTCCAAACTATTCTAGGATATAATTCAAGTCATCGATTTAACTGAACATAATTCATCAGTCATTGTTCTGCTTATTTTTTATTCAAAACAATAATTGTAATTATTTGTATTATGCCCAAAACATATTAACATACAAAGATAATTTCAGAAGATATTTTTAATTATCTTATAATTCATAAGTTTATAACCATTGTTTAGTTTGCTGAATCAAAAATAATAAATAAATCACACCAAATCAAAAGTGTCAATCCTAAATTAAATAAAAAGAAAAAACAAATCAAAACACTACTAAAACTCGAATCATCATCACTGGAGCTTTAATCGTCATCATCGGAGCTCGAATCATTATCACCGAAGCTCGAATCATCACCCGACCTGCGACGAACGGCCAAAACAGTCCACTGTAATAAGAACAATCGACTTGTTCTTATTACAGTGGACTGTTTTAGCCGTTCGTCGCCTTTTTCATGAACCAAACCCTTTGTTTCTCTCCATTTTTATGGTTAAGTGTATACTTTCGATAAAAAAGCATATACTTTTGTAATAGTTACTATTTATTCAATACAAACTGCTGTAATTTCTTCTTTGAAATACATGTTGGATAGACGAGTTATTTACTTACGGAAACTATCATATAGCATTAGATTTCCATCAAATTATGGCCTTATGCTAGATTTCTACGAATTAAAAATTACAAACCTATTTTTTCCAGAATCAATACTTCAAAATTGAATCACCCACATACGATGATTTTAATTGGTTTATTTCTAACCAAGTATCTTAAAATTAGTTAAACCAAATCAAAATTCAGTTTTTGTATTTTTTTTTTATAAGTTTCCCTTGGTGATGGATTTTTGTTTTCTAATAAAACTTTTTCTGTTGTAAAATAAGATTATTAAAATGTTTACATAAGAATGTTTACGATGATTATAGTAGGGATTTAATGGGTTTAGTTTACAACAGAAGAAGATTTTTTTTTTGTTCATTAGAAAACAAAGATACAAATAGAAATTGATAAAAACTATACAAAAATTAAATTTTGGTTTGGTTTACTTGATTTTAAAATGTTTGGTAAAGAGTAAACTAATTAAAATCATCGTATGTAGGTAATTAAATTTTGAAGTATTGATTTGGAGAGAAAAATGTTTGCGATTTTTAATTCGTGAAAATCTACCATGAGGTCATAGTTTAGTAGGGAGATGATGTTATATGATAATTTTCGATCATCTCCTCATACATGTTATTTATTAATGTAATTTTCTTGGAAATTAATGATAGATGTGGCTAAGTTTAATTTTCTGTTGTCGCCCATATTGACTCAAATATTTAGCTAAATGAATTTTAAAAGAGAGAGAAAAGTTCAAGGGACTGAAGACATCGATTAATTCTACTTAAAGAGCCTTACCACGTAGCACCTAGTTACCAAATTCAAATAAACGAAATGTAAGAAAGTGAAGTTTTGAGATTGAAGAACAAGAGAGAGATGAGAGAAAAAAGTAAAGAAGGAGAAACTTTTTCCTTAGATCTCAAAAATAACGTTACAAAGAGTTATAAAGAGATAGAGTATTATTATTCTAGCAACCAAACACACTTGGCTTACTAGAGAAGCTAGAATAAATAACTAATTTATTTCTTTAATTTAATACTCCCCCTCAAGCTTTGCCATGCCTAATGGTAAAGCTTGGAACCATGAAAACATCCCTCGTTAAAACCTTTTGTATAGAAAAACCCAATGGGACAAAACCACACAAAGGAAAAAGAGTAGATGCTTCATGGCTTAAGGAGATCATGATCTATCAAGGTCTATGAGTCCTAATCTCGGATGAATGAACNGGTAAAGCTTGGAACCATGAAAACATCCCTCGTTAAAACCTTTTGTATAGAAAAACCCAATGGGACAAAACCACACAAAGGAAAAAGAGTAGATGCTTCATGGCTTAAGGAGATCATGATCTATCAAGGTCTATGAGTCCTAATCTCGGATGAATGAACTCACAGACTTTACTACTTGCTCCTTTGGTAAAGATATCAGACAACTGGTCTTCACTTCTAGTGTAGCAAGGTAGGATCATCTTCTGCTCCACGGCTTGTCTCACTTTGTGGCAATCCACTTCAATATGCTTTGTCCTTTCATGAAACACTGAGTTTGAAGCAATATGAATGGCTGCTTGGTTATCACAATGCATGGTAATTGGCGTTGATGTTTCTATGCCCAAGTCTCTTAGCAAGTTTCTGATCCAAATGAGTTCACTAGTCAGTTTCCTCATTGCTCTATACTCTGCCTCAGCACTTGAACATGATACCACCTTTTGCTTCTTGCTTTTCCATGTAACTAGATTGCCTCCAATGAAGGTGCAATAACCTGTAG